CACATAGAGCTACTTTTTTGGAACCGTATCATATGTAGACCATACCATATGAGACGCAAACTCTTATACGGAGAGAAAGTCTAACCTGAGGTGTTACCAAAACGAGTCGATACCTATACTATGCGAAGTAGGTTATGATATATAATGGTTGGCGTGGTCCGACTATAATGTTCCTACTCATTATAAGCTGCGCGCTGTGCGAATGACTTAAAAGGATCAGTTCTTTAATTTCTCTGACAATGGCTTAGTATCGTTAGACTTATCAAAAAAGACTATTTCAAAACGTTTGATATTCAACTAAAGTAAAATGTAAGTTTGGCTCGGCTCAACAGAGCTTATTTTGAAGTAGGCAGCTTTGGTACATACATATAAATTTTTCTGAGAAGCAATTCATTTCGTTTTTTGGCTTAAATAATCCCTTAAATAATCAAGAATGACGGAAAAAGGCATTAGTGGGCGCGGCAAAATTTTAATTTATTAAAAAATTTGATTTTCCAGACGTAACTGTATCGCATTCTTAACGGTCACTTAAAACTTCAAATGCGTTTTTTCGGAGCAAGGATTTTTGAAAACGGGGCACTGCATAAATCAAACAATTTTTACTTTCTTCATACGAATTTTTGACAGTAACATTAAAATAACGTTCTCTTGAAAACAACTCGAAACATTATAGTGAACCACTATTAAGAATCCTTCACTACCTTGCTTAATAGCGTTATCCCTTTCAAGTAAAAGGCTTTCCTGGCAATGGTCGAAATAGTAGTTCTGCAGATATATGCAATACTTACAAGATCTTGAGATAGACTGGCCTCGTATTATATCATCGTATTCGGAGTTAATTTCTGAAACGATCTAAACTCGTCTGTCCCTCTGTCCGTCTTGTTTTCTTGTGTTGTACATACAGGGCACGATAAAATACGGTACAGTCATACGTGTGTTGACCCAAGGACTCCATTGAAAATGGTTTAAATCGAACCACTATTTCGACCACTTCGCATATAATCACCTCAGTTCGAAAATTCATTATACGAGTAACTATAGGATAGTGTAGGGTATTTAACGGTAGACCACGGCTCATTATAGTCTTACTTGCTGTTAAACGTATAAGGAAAGCTTCCCAAAAAGTATTCGTGTTTTTACTTCTTGGAGAAGAAATTTCTTTTTATATAATTATTAGCTGTCATATTTAAAATCTCGCTAATGTGGAGACCAAAGCAAAAAAGTCCCAACGAATTGTATTGAGAAGCGTGGCGGAAAAGAAACCGAAATGTACTTTTTAATTCAGTCAAGATCTGACTTTCCGGACTCAACGATGTATGTCTCCTGTGCTAAATAGTCGAAGACGACGAAAATGAATCTATTTCCTTTTAAAATGCTTTAAGGCTATTGTTTAAACAGCTTTGGCACTTTTTTTTTAATAACAAACATGTAAAAATAGGTAGGAAGTATGTTTTTGAATCTACCACCGGAAGACGGATGGAATAGTTATTTTGTCACATACTTTTGTAACATCCACAAATACTTCCGTGAAATTTTACAAATTTTACATTTAATGTATTCACAAAAATTGTTTATAACAATTATTAAGAATAAAATTAGTGTTTGTTGTCTGCGTGGTCTAGCCTTCGGTTCGTCTAGAGACAGTTTACAACATTCAGTTCTATAGTTAAACTGTCATAGGTCTCAAATCAGATATCGCGAATAATGTCGAGCTATTACAAAGGGATCACAATAGAAAGAATTATAAGCGCCTTCAAGTGAATTGAAAAATATTAGAGCACTACCGCTAGTAAATTATAAAGGAAAGTAGATGCTAATGGGTATCTGAGATTCATCTCAAGACAAATGAAATTTTCTTATCTGCTTGTTTTTGTTTTTGTTTTGTTTTTTTTTTTTTATTATTTTTCTCTACTCTCTGCAGATACACACAAACAAGAAAGAAAAAAATTGTTTTCAAAATAAAAGTTAAAATCCAGTTTATTATCATCAACTAAGTAACCGCATATTTTACAATGATGCGCGACATTTAAGCATTTGTAAAGAGCAGCACTTATAAGTTACTGCTTTACAAGTTGGAAAAACCAGTTAAAATGATGCTTAGATGTTTTCATTTTTTCTGTTTTTTTTTTTTTGCAAAACTGCTATGACTGCTAAATAACTTGAGGAAAATAAATGTAATATTACTGCTTAGATATGGGATTTAAAGAAAGACCTAATTACGTCAAGTGGAAGTGTTTGCTATTCGTTCATTACATTGATTCATAAAAAGAGAAACATTTTTTTTTTTCCAAAAAAAAAAAACAAAAGCAAACCAATCAATTATATGCAATTGAATCCAAAGAGCATATGTTTAACTGAAATGAAAAAGTCAAGCCGTAAGAAAGGAAGGAAGCAAAGGTGGTCAAGCGAATTTTTATTTTTTTTTTGATTGCGGATGAGCTGAACGGTGGTGATGTATGCTATCAGTGGAACAATTGTAAAAGAAGGGAATAAGTCGCCAAGTGAACTTTTTTTTTTTAGACAAATTATTTTTCCAACGAAGCCATGTTGAGCCGAGCGGTAGCGATGGTTGTTGCAATGGGGGAACTGATTACTATTTGAAATCGGAAACAAAACATTGACTGAACAATTTGCGATGTTGACAATCAAGTGCCAAAAGATACATTTGATGCATCAAATGATTGAGTTAAACGCCTACTATGTACACAATATCACTACAACTTCCTATTTTTGAAGGGCATTCACTGATCGACATAACAACAACAAAATTCTCGCTGAAGAGAGAAATGACTCCAACAAAGCGATGAAGCGTTGAAATGAATGTGTAGATCCATTAAATAGTTTACTTTAATGAATATAATGAATCGAATTTTGCCTAAAAGTTATTGCTTTATTAGTGATCCTCTGAACTTAATGAATGTTGCGTTACTCGAAAACAATCCGAGCATCATTGCATTTCTTTTTTAGTACATAATGTACACTTTGTAGCATTCACTTGAATTGCAGAAAAGTTTAATCCTGTTTAAAGTTTCGGAATGGAAGCCGAACAATATCCACGAATCTATGTTAAATTGGAATAGTTTAGTTATAAACTTGGTAGATATCCGCTTCGGTTATGTCTACAAATACAATTAATTGTAAGTGCGTGCCACCAGTCCTGTAATTGCAACAAAATCATTTTAAAAAGGGAAATTTCGGAATCTTCAGGTCAAAACACCCGTGTTCTTAAGAAGGTGACCGCAGTTAAACACATAGCCAAGTAAATAGAACTCGCGGCTACGGACATAAACTTATCGATCGGTGTCATAGCTACTAGGCTGCGGCCACTCTTTGTGTCTTGCTTTTTCCTCACTTCTTTGTGACTATCGTCATATTACATGTACAGAGACCAACCCTGAATGATTTCTCACATTAAAAAAAAAAAAAATTATATAAGCTGCGGCACAAATATTTACCTGAGAACATCAATCGATCAATAACCAATACGCGCAAATCATTAAAAAAGTAATTTTTTTATCATTAAAAAGGTGATTTTTTATTTTCACTTATGTAATATTAAGTATTTAAAAGCTACCTTTACCGTGGGCATCTTCTAAGAACTTGAAGGAACTTCTTCAAGCAAAGAAAACGCCCTTCTTCAATCTCCCAAGGGATTTCGTCTAAGTAACACTTTGGTTCTTAGAAATATTTCTCCCCTTGGACATTTTCCACAAGAGTTTACCTTGTTGAAGATGCCTTAGCAAGAAACACACGGCGCAAACGTTGTTGTCGTAAGATAAGCCTACCATGAAGAGAACTTTTGATAGAACATACCTTCACGAGAGTCATATTGGATTGTAATCATCCGAACGATCTAGCCTAAAGAATTGTAGAACTTTTAACTGTCGCTCGGATAAGGCATTCGCATTCTGTAAGGATCTGTTGCCATTAAATAAAAGAAAGAAGGAAAGGCTTGATGTTTTTACGAAAACACAAAATAAAATGAAATTATTATTTCATCTCTGAAGGAAACACTAATTGTAATGGAAATGTTCAAAGAACGCCTTATTAAAGCAAATTTTTACTTTTACAATTGTTTTTGTGCGAATACGAACGCCACAAAGTCAATAAAGAAAAATCAAGGCAGGCCAGTCTTTTTAGGAGCATCGCTTCACATCTTCAATTCAATAACTTTTAAAATATTTTCTGCGAAAAAAAAAAAAAAAAAAATTTATGCAAGTTTTTAGAGAGCGCGCTTAAATATCAAAGCTAGGCTGAACAAACAAAACAAATACAAAATAATTACTAAATAACTAAGACATTCGAATAATAATGCTCATGTGTACATATAAGCATGTACGTACATGCATGATCGATAGACAAGTAAGCGTAGAAACAGACAAACAGACGGACAGACAGACAGACAGACAGACAAATACAATTGTACATATCATTGGAAAAAAAAAGAGTATAAAGTCGCGAAACAGCTTACCGGTGTATCATCATCAATACAACTGCAACGAAAGTGCAAAACATAGATTAACGGTAAGCAAGAAAGAAAAAAACAAAAACAAATCCGCTAGAAACACTTTAGCATGCTTGAATGTGAAGCTTGCAACTTACATGTGCATGCGAGATGCGAGCACATACCCACTCGATTAGTATTTCGTAGAGTAAGTGGTGATGTGATAGTAATTGTGATGCTTAAACTTAACAGAGATGCTGAACATAATAATAAAAAAAGCAAAAAAAAAAAAAAAATATATATATATATATATACATATATCTGAACACATAAAACAAGTGAGTACACAAACGAGTATCGTTGTGTGTGCTTGTGTGAATGTATGTTTGTGTTTGTCTTTGTGTTTATCTGTATGCAACCAAAGGAGGCGCAGTCAAAACACTATAAATAGCTTAAATAGGGCTCGCTGTTGAACAGTCTGTTTTACAAAATTCGCTTTCATTATACGAAACCGCAACCGCTTGGAAAAATTTCACGTTAAAAGGAAAACAAAACAAAAAAAAAAAAACAAAAAAAAAACCGATACAAACGCGTGTGCAATCTATATATATATACATATATATATATACATACATATATATATTTCCTAATTTTATTTCCGATAGTGTCGCTCACTGTATTCGAAAGTGTAGTAATAATTTTTTATTTATTTTTTAATCCTTTCTCAACCAATTAAATCAAAGAAATGAATACCTTCGTAAGTAATTTTTTAAGCGATAAAAAAAGAAAAAAAGAACAGAAACTTTTTTAATTAATTAATAAAAGTGAACAGCATTCGCGAAAGAAAATAAATAAAAAAAATATATTTTTCTTGTACCATTTTATGTATTGCATCCGTTTAGTCGTTCATTTTGTGCCTTTGCGCGATAGTATTGACCTGCTCAGCCAAGCCGCAATTACGACCCAACGCCAATAATATTCCGTTGGATGAGAAACCAGAACCGCGCCATCGCGAATCCACCACTTGGATACCGATATTAAAATTTAATAAGGAGCAAAGTGAAGATGGCAGCTATAGAACCGAATACGAGACGGGTAATAGCATCGTGCACGAGGAGACTGGATTTCTGAAAGACTTCTCTGACACGAATCCAAATGGGGTCCTAGTGCAACATGGACAATATTCTTATCTCTCACCCGAAGGTGAAACAATTAATGTTCAGTATACAGCCGATGAGCATGGTTTTCGGGCTACCGGCGATCATATACCCACACCGCCCGCCATACCCGAAGAAATTCAAAAAGGCTTAGATCAAATCTATGCGGGCATTAAGCTGCAACAAGAACGTTTAGAGCAGCGAGCCAAAAGCGATCCCGATTTTGCCAAAAAGTTGGAAGAACGCCGTCTAGCGAACAAGAATGGCCAATATGTGGGACTACTGGAGAATAATTAGAGAACAACAAACACATTATACAATAAAATTTAAATAAAAAAAACAACAATAACAAAAAAGAACCACCTTTTTTATCCTAAACGGCTCTCGTTCAATTTTATCGCCTTCAAATTAACATGAATTTAATTAACGTTTTTTTTGTTTTAATTTCATTTTAATTATAAATAATAACAAAGACTGTGATTTGCTATAAGTTTTTGGGTGATAAATTGCGCGAGAGTGCCACAGATCGTAGACAAGAAAAAAAAAACAAAAAAAAACAAAACAAAACTACACGTCACTCTACATTTTCACTTTTCTCAGTCTTCCTCTTTCTTTCGTTTTTACTTTTTCTTTTCGTTCACAAAAAAAAAAAAAAAAATTGTAATTAATTTGCATTTTGTATATATATATATATATATATATATATATGTGTATATATTAACTAAAATTTTAAATGTTTTCTTTTTTAAATAAATGTAATAAAAAATATTAAATTTAAAAAGTTTTTCGCTCGCATAACAGTAGGAATTTATCAGTGAGTAATGCTTTTTATTGATATCATGTCAAGCGATCCTTTAGTATAAAATTGCTAAGATTAAATTGTACTATGATTAATGCCAAATGGTTATAATGTTAGGTTGGAGGGAAAGTTCTGTCGTATTTTAACTAAGCAGGTAATTTTTCTTGTAAACATCTGGCTAGTGAGTCATTCGGATTTTTTTTTTTTTTTATCTGTTGTATAATATAAAAGGAGTCTTTTTTTTGCCTTTCATCGTTTACTTGTGATATTTAAAGTGAAAAACATGTCAGCAGATAAAGTGCATTTATGACACTGCATTTTATATGAATTTCAAAAAGGAAGCAACGCATCGGTTGCATATAAAAATTTATATGCGGCGTTTGGAAAAGATATTGTAAATGTTCGTACTTGTCGAAGATGGTTTAGCAAATTTCGTTCCGGGGATCTGAGCCTCCAAGAAAGTGTAATGTTTTGCGATCCATGTTGGAAAATAAACCACATTTAACAAGTCGAGAATTTGCAGAAGTACAGAAGTACACGAATAAAATAGGACAGAACTTTCCCTCCAACCTATTATTTAATTGCTGATCATAACCGTTATATACATGATAATATAAAAAATTATTGAAATCGAAATACCGAACCATTTTTATATTACAGCTAATCCGCCTGAGTAGCCAAAGGCGACGAATCTCGACTAGCAATGGTCAATGGTCGTGGGTTCGAATCTCAAGTGCGGTAGAGTTTTTAATAAAAGCCGATAGCCGTAGATGCTAGTGCATAATAATAATATATTACAGCTATAGGATGCAATTTGTTCTTCGTATAATTTTCTGAAAATCGTGTCTCACCAAAATTTCTAGGGTTTTTATCAAAAAAGTATGGTTTCCACGCGCTGGTTTCGAAGAGGGGTAAGGCCCATAACTCTTCTATGGAGTCGCGACTACAAAGATGTTGTTTGCAGGCTCTAAACTCAGTGCAGTAGAGCAGACTTGATCATAGCTAAAATGAGTGTTTAGTCGGTAAAGGAACATTACCTATATTAAATTGGGCAGGCACCCACTGCCCTCACCTTCTTGCTTCTTTCCCCCGCGGGTTATAAAACTGAACAGGCGGTAAACTAAACTTCGTCGTAGCTGCACAGTTAGTAAAGGCATAACGCTTGCCTATTGGGTATATACACACAAGACTACCGCTGCTCCCTACCAAATTCTTTTTGCCCACTTCTCCCGCGGCTTCAATGCGACAAAAGACACAAATTGAAATGTTCTCCTATAACTTCGTATATTGCAAATTAACTCCTTTCAATGAGTTGTTAAGAGTGGCTCGATTTGGTAAATTTCATTGAGGATGGGCTCTTGAAATTTTTTCGATTATACGCTTTTGGGTTTTATATGTAGTAATCTGTTGACAAACTGATAGAGTGATTCCCAGCAATGTCAAGACACCCTAAAAATTGTCACAATATCAACTCTATTTTCCACCTATTGTCAGTATTCACGGAGGTAAATTTCAATGCGGTAAAGTTCACTTCGGTCGTAGCTATAATATGACGGTTCAGTCGGTAAAGACATAATACTTCAGTGATTCTTTCTGGCCATCACCTTGTTACACGACTAGAGGACATTCCCTCCATGATTGATCACTAAGCATACAACTCCCACACATAGTGCGTGCCAAATACTCAACATCTTTTTTGTTCTTCTTCAAAATGACCAATCAAATAGGGGATGTCTCCTACACTCGAGAAACGAGCAGATAGTCAAAAAAAAGTGAAGAAAGGGAAACAGGCAGGCACGGCATCCTAGCAACCGGTAAGCGTTACGCCTGTACCGACTGACCACCTACCAAATGTACAGCCAAGTACCGCATTAAGACTTGAACCCAGCAACAAGGGATTGATAGTTGGGACTCTTTTCTTGTCGGCCGCAGAACTATGTACAGTTCCTAATTATGCAATTCAAACGATTTTATTCGTTTACAACATAATGGATTAGATGATGATATATAATGATGATACAATGACAATGTAAAATGTTTCTATATAATGTTTCTGTAAAAGATTTAAGGGAACTCTTCAACACGTCTCTTCGTTTATGAAGATAGTCCCAAATCTTAACTTATTGTGACCATTAGAACATACAACTTGTGCAAATTAACCGATTTGTCGTTTTACTAATCGACACAAAAGACAATGAAATGTTAAGCGAAGAAGTTATTCCAAGGTTAAAAAACTCCTTAACCTACTGCATTTGGAGAGTCATACAATGAACAAGCAATTTACACCCATTCATTGCTATCTTTTATTATATAATCGATACTTGGCATTATTTTCATTTAATAAAAAATGTCAAATTGAAGTAAGCTAAAAAGAAAAAAACGTGCATTTAGCTCAGAGCGAATCTTTAAACACCCACCGCTTTTATCTTAAAAAAAAAAAGATCTAAAAAAATATATATATATACATATGACACTACTCTATAACATCCAGTAGGCGTGATTGATTTTCTGAATTTTTGCATAATCAATATGAAAAACCGTAGGCATATTTACCGCAGAACTACACAGGTGGATAGAAGAACAGAAAAACAGACGAACAGGACGGAAGGACATGCTTAGACCTAATCAGAATTTGCTAGTGTTTAAGACTATATATACTTTATGAAATTTCTGAAGCTTTCATCTGGACGTCGTAAGCGTTTTAATCCATCGGCGCAGTGGGTGCAGAAAGTCGTATTGAACTTAGACCAAATCTTTCGAGACTCGCCACCTTTTATGACTTTGTTTGACTTAATAAATATCTATTGCAATGAAAACATGTATTTTATTAAAAATAAGTGGCGGTACCATAATTATAACATGCTATGTAAGACTAAATATCTTGCGGCACAACACAGCAGATATTGCGGGGGGAGTATTTTATATACAAAAATGTCGCCACTACTCAGCAAAACCTTCTGTAGAAAAGTATGCAAGCAGCAGCAACATAATTTCGATCTATTTGCCCCAAAACATCGAGTTATCATCGAGTTTTGCGCCACTGCGCAAACAACTCTAAGAGAAGAGAACCAACAGTAGTCGTACATACGCTTAAAGCTTAAAGAGAATGGAAAGAACAAATTTTAATGTCACGTTCGTTGAAATAGGCGATCAATGATTTAAAGTTATTTAAGTGATATCAACAGATAGATAGATAGATAGATGATCATACGTTTTTACGGGTAATTATAGGCGTTACAAACGTGTAATTATTTTTGGTATAACTTTAGTGGACGGCATAAAAAATGGAAACAATCTTTTCGCAATAAAATTTAATAAATTGAAATGATCGGTAATGTGCGATGGGAATCATGAGGCAAAGCAAATAAAACACCAGCAAAAAAAAAAAAAGACGCATGCATTTGGCTGAAAACGAATTTATTTATACCATAGGAGGAATTTTTTTTTTTTTTTTGAATTTTACTCAAGGCATTACGTGTCATTAATTCAATTATAATTCATCTCAAGAGCAATAGTTTTCACTTTGGGACAAAGCTGGAACAATATAACAATAAGGTTTACAATTTTTCAAAATGGGCCTTTTACTGAATGGTTCCATCCTTATCGTATCTTGATCATTGTGACTGATTGCTCATCACCATCAAAAATTGTTACGAATTTTAACGGATCTTAATCTTCTATGTGTTCTCATACAAACTCTACTAACAACATCTTATGTTTACTTACGATTCCATTTATCTACCGGATATATCTTTACTATAGAAAGCAGTAATGTCTCCCATTGTAGACATTTTTTACTTTTACTTATATCAATAATGTAGTGTTTTAGCACGAGTCGAATCTCGTACATGAATTTAGTTGATCCTCGAACTTTTCCCAGAGAGTTAAATCACGGGAACCGTAAGACCAATAAGTTGTAATTTTTAGGACGTAGAAAACTAAAAAACATAAAATTAATCAACCCACCGGAAATGAAAAAAATTTTACCTTAGGCAAAGGTTGTTTCCAGAAACGCCGTTGTAACCTTAGTGAGGAGGTGAACTCACACCCGCTGGGCGCACTTGTATACTTCATGTTCTCTCCTTTTATAACATACGTCGTATACGTTCTATATAGTTTCCCCGTGAGGGACGGACGAAAAAAGCAAGCAGGCTACGCAGCGTTGAAAGGAATCTTGGTTAACTGTCACCACTGACAGCATTTAGTTAAATTTTAGATCCACCTTAGAGCTTATAGTTTTAGATGGATTTAAAATCATATCTGGAATAAATACCTAACCATATGACTTATCTATGTATTGTATGTAGAATCTCTGATATGAATTTCTTAGTGTATCAAATGGAATCACTTACACTTACTTGCTGCGCACTCTCTGTCATCTGTATATATATGTGGATCCCTATAAGATCTGTTTTCAAGACTGCTTTGTTAATCGGAACTAAACGCACTTATATATCTGCTTGAGTGGTGTGAGTAGGCTAAAGATCACAGCTAACAACTCAATGGTCGTGGGTTCAAATCGCAAACGCGGTAGGGTTTGAGCCAATAGCCTTCAGATACCTAATGCTTTATAACTTTAGCATTTGAGTTTATTTCTCTGGCTAAATTCATAATAATATATAAGCGACAAAGACAATTCGCGTCTGAAAATCTTAATAACCGTAGATGGGGATGATTGATTGAAGAGACACCTCTGACTGAATTAAAACTATAAAGACATCATCAAGTTTCCTTCATATATGTGTCAAATGAAATGATGAAATGAATAGACCACCTGTAGTTGTTTGCCTTTAGTTATGAAAATATATATATATATGTATAAAATTAAATCAAGCCCATAAAACACATATACACACCCACTTTTGTTTTCGCTGAGTTTTTGACGACTCATAATTTTTTTAACAATTGCGTAATAAATTCGTGTTTAGTTTAGTTAAGCATGCGCATTGTTTGGTTTCGTTAAACATGCTTCTTCTGCAACGGAATGCCTCTATGTGTGTGCTTGTGTATGTGTGTGCTTGTTATAATAAATGAAATCTCTGATGGTCTATTCATGTATCTTCTAAACAGCAACAGCGTGTACAACAATTAAAATAACCACAACAACAACAACAACAGCATAATAAAATGCATTCATACCTAAGAAAAATATCTATCTTCGTGACCGATATTTTCTTTATTTATTTTTCCAAGTGTATCTTTCATCATATGAAATGCTTTTCGTTATTTTAAACTATCAATAACTAGGCCGGCCGTATTTTGCTGGCTAGGAAATGAAAGCAAAACGAAAGTATTTAAGCAAAAAAAAAAAAAAAAAAAATTGCTTTAAAACACAAAGAATATTTATTATATTAGAAAAGTAAAAACTTTTTTTAGACAAAAATAAAGCAAAACTATTAAAAAATTTCATACATCATTAACTGATTTAAATTATATCGCTACAATAATTTTCATCGTTACCACGATCTAAAGGTAGACGACGAGAAGATAGAAATGAGGAATAAATTTAAAAACTTTACTTAACGTAAATCCGTGAAAAAGAAAATTTTACAACTGATGATGCTGATGATGCTAAAGCCGATTGGAAAGAGAAAGAAAAAAGAGGCACAAGAAGAAGAAGAAGAAGAAGAAGGCTAAAGATATAACGGCCATACAGTTATTGGCCAATCGAACAATCAGCCATGCATTCACCCGTTCTACAAAAGATAACTGATTGACTGGCTGGCCGTTTAATGATGAATTGTACGGTTAAGATAAACGCTATGATTAAAGTCAATCATCGTCAGCGTAAATGGGTTCGCAACCAACACTTTATTGACTCAAGTTTTAGTTTAAACGAAGATGCTGACCAGAAATCATTAGAAACGCGCAACATCGATGTGGCAATAGTTGATTGTGTTAACGCAGATGAAGCATTAAAACGTAAAAATCTTAGAGATGCAGACATCCACTCGCGCATATGTATTAAAAAATTATTTACCCAATAAACGCTTTGAACTATATATGAGAGGAATAAAAAGAGAAAAATCTATCGTATGTGAGATAATTGTGCAACATTGTAAAAACGAGTATAAGAAAAACCCAGAAAAAGAAAATCAAAGCAAAAAATCAAGAAATTTTTCTATTCCGTAAACAGTAGAAAAAGACTCATCACCAAGTATTATGAAAAAGTAAAGTAGCACGCAAAGTTGTTTATACAAAATTTTAGCCGTTAAATCGTAGTGAAGAAGAAGTGATAATATGAACTCATCATCAGTGATACAAATACAGATGTTGTCGTTTTTGTTGTCGTTATTATTTTCACGATTGATTTTATTAAATGCTGTTACTGTTCCTATGCCGCATACCTTGCTATTACCGCAAGGTTTTGATCCGCCAGCTGCTCCCCGTCAACGAATGCATTATCCTGTCTCTGTATCGACGGAAATATTGCCAAAGCTATTGAAAATACCGACAGAAACTCCCGATTGGCAGCCTTTAACGGTACCCTTAAGAAATTTAAAGCTTCCCCTAGCATCCGCTTGGAGTACGTATGCACCTACGACGCCCCTTAATGGGCAAAATAAAGATATACCATTGACGAATCTTTCTGTCAATGAAAATCCCGTCTTTGAATCAATTGTTTACGGCGCCTGGAAATCGAATCCTCCATTTAAAATGTTCAACTCCTCCGAAATGTTGGATGACAAATTCTACCACAGGACAATTAATCGCCAAAATGGTAAGTAAGTGTTTCAGTAGCTACGTTATCAAATAATGTCAACTAGAATATAACAACATCAACAATAAGCAAGAAAGTTATATTCACCTGGAACCTAACCTCGCTTACCCACCAACATTAAAACCTTTGGCACCCCAAGCTTTTATTTATTGTCATAAGAAAGTGAACGGCATAAGATTTGTCTTTCATCTTTTACTTCACTAAAAAGTGTTGTTACGAAATTTAGTCCATCACATCGCCACGTCCACCACTTAACGCACTTAGCTTGTCGCACTCCACAAGCCCGCCTATGTGATACCCATATCAGTTGCATTGTAACGAAAAAATTAATCCACTACGTCGTGAGGCCCATCGTAATTTAGAATTAATACGCTTTCTTTGTCCCCTTGTACTCTCCAAGTCCTTTTATTTACCACCCATATCATTGGTATTATTAAGAAAAACCACCAGGTCGTGATGTCCACCATATTTATTTTAGAGTTAATGTAGAGTTGCGTGCAGTTCACGCTGCCCTGCGAGCTCGTGTTTGGAGCAATTTAGCCCATTTTCAATACCAATCTGCGTGCAAAAATTTCCAATCTTTCTACCAAATTTGAAGTCGATATCTTAATTTCTGCAATCAAGGGAGTGCCTACAACATACAACATACAGACGGACACGGCTAAATCAATTCAGAATTTCATTCTGGTCAAGGATATATATATTTTATATTGTCTACGAAGCTTCCTTTTGGATGTTGCAAGCATTATTATGAGAAAATAAGTGTAGCCCGCATCCTTCAGTGGGTTGTGCAGAAATTATAGAGTAATTATTTCTTTAATATTCTTAAGATTATTACCTCTTTGTTATGCCACGCATTTCTCTGCAAAAACTTTCCCTTATCGACTCCGGAAAGAACTGCAATACGATTTTGCTATCAAACAAATAATTGCTCTCTCCGCAGTTTAAGTTCAAACTACAGGAGTTTTCGAAAGACTTTTGCCGACGGTGTTAGACGGTGTTATATATATGCATACATCAGTGCTGTACTCTTCAGTGACGATGATTACCTATAAAACTGCTACAAAATAATTCATATTTTTATCTGTCTAAGCAGGTCATACTTTTTTATCGGTTATGTTACAAGTTTGCAAGGTATTATTAAAGCTACGTTGCGAATGCAACTCTGTATCTTAAGTACTATCATCGAAAGTGAATTTCAATTTCACAAGCAACTCTTTTTCCCTTATAAAACAAGATGCTTTACAAAACCAATAGGCGAAATGAGAGAGGAAGGAAAACCCTGGAATGGAGAAAGAGCCTATTCGAAAAGAATATTTCGGAGAATCTTCTGGCCTAAGTTTTATTTAATGTGTATGACTTGTAACAAAGTAGCACAACTTAAGTCTGCTTTTCAGTTAGCTGAAGGCGGGGACAAAATATACCAGAGACTGCAAATCCAGATTTGCTTCCATGTTCCGTTAGCTGACCCAGAATAGTACCCTTTAAAAGGATATCGAACGCTTAAGAAAAATCGATAAAGTCCCCCCTTTATAATAACAATTTTTTTCTATCCTGTTCCTGGCTCCCAGCAGGTGGCTGCTTTTGTTTCAATACTTTCGTAGGAAATTCTTAAGTTTTATTTTCATACCTTTTTAGGTGGATTCATTGGCCACTTCATCCACAAACTTGCAAAGAGTGAAAAGCAAAATATCCTCAAACCTATTTACTATGAGCGTTCAGCTGAACACAAATCACCCAAATTGACGGAGAAAAGTGAAAAACAACAACCAATAGAACAAAAGCAATGGCTAACGAAAAAACCTGGACGTTATAAAATACGGCCGACAATTGAACGACGTACTATCAGAGACGATCAAGAGATCCCTGTTACCGAAATTATCTATTCATTGAAAAATGATACCGTCCATACAACGGAAGTTATTCCATCGACTCAAAATAAACCTCACGAAACCACAATAAAAATGACAACAACAACAAATATACCAACACCTGAGATCGAATTGACAACATTATCTGAAAAAAAAATCGCAAGGACTACAAACTCTTCAATCTTAGATTGGCCTAAAGATTTTATGGATACGTTATTGCTCTCTACAACGCAGAATTTATCAAATGATACCTTTTCCACAGAAGATTATAATATGGTGTTACGAAAGTCTTCAGAATCGCCCTTAGCCTTAAGCGCTCTAAATATTCCGCCCTCACTTTGGCCACAATTGCCGGGCAATATAACCAAATTGGGAAAACCTTATGAAAGTAGAAGTTCATCTGAAGAACCAGCTCTTTGTGTGCCTATAACAATTAATGAACCCAGCATTTCTAATCCGCATAAATTGATCAGTGTGGAAAGAGTCTATTGCTTTCCTCTACCTAACACCACAAACAAAATAGACGATTTCGTTACAAAGAATCATATGACAAGCGGCATAAGATTACATTGGAATATAAGAGAATTGCGAACAATTCTAACATTTGTGATCGTGGGTAAAATTTTCATTTTATAAATTGTTTTAAAATCTTTTAATTTTAAACTCAGGTTATAAATAATGTTAATAAAAATTAAATATTAAAAAAAAAAAAAAAGGAAATGAAAATAATCCATGACTTTCTTAAATAATAGCATTTTATATAAAATAATAAATATTCGTAATATTTTTTTTTATTGTTTTCCTAAATTTATAATTTAAGACTTAAAACTTACCGCTTTTTCTATCAGACGCAAGCTTTTGAGATAAGAAACTCGTTCTTCTTCTTTCTTTGATATTTTGTTTATAACCGATAATTTGACTTCGCTTATGTTTATTCAACGCAATCGGCAAGTCAGCAAATTTTCAGAAACTAAATTGCTTGAAATGTGTTTATTAAATCGATCTTTTGTTTTAATATCAATGAAACAGAATGTTGAAAATCCTTTTCTTTCCCCTTATTTTTTTAAATTTTTTCACTTTTAAACAATGATAAATTTATTAATAAAAACTTACGTAGGCACAACAGTTAGCAAGCTTCTCGCAAGCTACTGAAACTGTGGACAGTGTTGTGGTATCTATTTAGTACATGTAATAAACGTATGTGTCTTTACTAAATATAAACAACAGGGTTGCCATTTCAACGATTTCCATGCAGATAAACGATTTATGAAACGCAAAGCAAAAATTTACTTTGATGTAAATAGTTCAAAAGCATTTAATTAATTGAAAGAAACATCAAAGAGGATGAAGAAAAGGAAGACCAAGACGGAAATATTCATGTAATCTTAAAATTTCGGTGCAATTTTTAATTCGACGAAACAATCTTAACACTAAAAAGAAATCATTGCACGACGAATCATCTGTTTCTTATCATTCAAGATGAACAAGTAAGTCCATACTTGTCTAGGGGAGCGCTAACTTTATAAAGGTCTGCCTTACTTTTTGGCTTTCGGTGGTCATATGAATCAATTAGAAAAAAATTAATTAATTCAATAACTATATTAATAACTTTATTAAGGTTCAACCAAAGAAATTCATGTCCGCCTTGAAAGTTCTTTACACAGTGCAATGAATTTTCGGTTGTTGATTTGCTGAAGCGCTGTAGAAGAAGAAGAAGGCCATTGTGCTATATAATCTCAAAATTATTTGGAAAACAGAAGCCAAGAATATATTTATATCAATTTGTAGGTTGTGAATATAAAGAAAATAAAATTAGACAAGAAGGTAACTGCACAGAATGAGAAAGAGCAAAACGATCACAATTACGAGGGGGATTTCAGCACCCTCTAATAAATACATACATCTGCCATCAAGCCAACCAACAACCTTACCTAGGGGCTCGATTCAGCAATTTCGCGTTCGTATTGAAGTCGAAACAATAAACTGTCCGCAGTTGATACAAGTTGGATGGCAGAATATAGTTATATATATATATATTTACAAGTTTCAGGGATTTTAAAGAACGCAGAACGAATTAATACCAACAAGTTGCAAGATTTAAAAAAAAAAAAAGAACTTGAGGTGACCGCAGTCAGTGCATTTATTTAAAATTCACAGGAAGTATTCATATATATGTAACTAGATTTACAATTTGAGGAAACCCTATTTGAGAATTTTTTCTGAAATGTTGTAGTTATTATAGAATAGGACAAAATTAAAATTTTTTCATTACATTTTTTAACAGATAACAGAAATTGAAAATTTTTTCCCTTGACTTGGCGATTCGTTGCGCACGGATGAAATTGCTCCCACCAAAATACGATTATTTAACAAAAATAAAATTGACCCAATACATGTAATTTGGTGGACAAGGAAATGAATGCAAGGTGTATTTTTCAGTTTTATGCTACAGAAATTATAAAAAGATAACTTCCAAAAATCTCACACACCGTTTGTACGTACTGCAACGCTGTTCAAAATGAATTCCGGTGAATCCCGCGTGTGCTAATGTTTGTAGTAAAAAGTGGAGGACTCTTATGTTGCATGGTTTCAAACGAAATAGATGCGTTCTCTTTAAAGTTGTGAAAACTAAAATGCTTTGCAATATCCTTTTGAGAAGGAAATGTCAAATGAATTAATATTCATAACAATATTAGATGGGTCGAGCACGTCACTGTAGTGAAGAAGACTGAAATGCATACAAATTTATTGCAGCATGGAATGATGCAACATCCCGAATCGCCCGTCGGCGATGCCGGATCTACCACGAAGAAAGTTTGGAAAGTTCCTCAGAAAAGCTAATTTGAAGAAAAGGATTTTGCTTTAGAACTGAAGTGCTTTCAAGTTTTTGTTTATATCTAAGATGTCTCTAGCAACTTGTTTAAATACGAAAACGTTCCTACTTTATAAATCAATATTAAATATAGCGCATAATAGAAGGAAAATAGAAAGGAGCGCCCCCAACTGTGTATATAAGACATAAATATAAAAGGTACTCAAGTAGTTTAAGTACATTCGTAAGCAATATTGGGAGCATAAAGGTTTTTAGGATTCATTTTGGTCAGAAAATAAACTTTATACGATTTCCTAATGAAGAGGTAAACATCACACGTTTATTTTAAGGCCTTTTATCCATTTACATCCACTAGATCTTAATATATCTTAGTTTGGTCAACACTCATAAACATGAAATCTGCTTACGTCCAATAAAAGTGTTTCGCCTTTTTTTTTATATACCCTACACCACTTGTAGTACAACGATGCATTAGGTTTATGAGTATATACATAACATCCAAAAAGGCTTGAGATACAGCCATCTATTATTATATCGACCGATTCGGAATCACTTTCTGAAACCCCATTAAATTAGATTTAATTACCTATCCGTCTTTTTTCTTGTGTTCAATTTACAGGGCGCCATTTTTGAGATAATTTGATGAAATTAGGTCCATGTTTTGGCCCAAGCATGAACCCTATTGAAAATGGTTTGGATCGGACCACGTACTCTGCGACTTTCCATATAAAGCCTCACGTTAAGAAGTTGTTATGTAAGTAACTGTAAAGCGGTGTAGGACCTTTAATCGCACATATTGGTGTTATTTAAGAAACGCCAAGAGAAATATTTATTGTAAAATTTTTATGATGAAAACCACATGTAATCTCTTCCAAGACGATATGCAAATGCTTTCTTAGAAAGAATTAAAAAATTTATTTATTTTTCAGATTTATAACATAGTTTTAAGTTTATTTATTGTATACGATTTTTCAAGTGTCACGGAGTAATATAAAAAATTGGTTATAAACTATTTTTTTTTTTTTTCCTCTTTTTGCTTTTTAATATATTTAATAATGAATTTTAGATGTGAACGATTGTTATTTATATATGGATTAAATTCGCTGATGATCCGCTTTATTTGCTAAGTATAAAAAACATTGAAACTCGTTTAGGTTTTTTTTAGTTGATTTTTATGTAAAAAAAAAAAAATTATTGCGAGTTTTTTATTATAATTATTATATTATATATTATAATTCGTTATTAATTTTATAATTATTAAAAAACTGGAAATAAAGGGAAAATTTAACATAAATAAGCACTCACAAAAAAGTATATATATATGTATATATATATATTAACTTTTTTTTTATATTTTTATATTATTAATAATAATACGTGATAGATAATTAGTAAAAAGGATATATATAAGAAAAAAGAAAATAAAATCATAAAATATCTAAAAACAAGTAAATTGAAATCGTTTTAAGGCTAAGCGAATCGTTAAAGATGAACGAGTTAACTAAAAAGGAATAATTAAACTGTCTGGAGGGACAAATCATGTACTGTTACTTAGGTAGTTTTCATTATATTAAAAATGATAACACTAAAAAAATTGCTTCCAAAAATGAAAATTTATAACTTACAATATAATGGTTAGAGAGAGAGAGAGAGAGAGAGAGAGAAATCAATCTTTCAAGAAAAAAAAAAAAATAAAATTTATTTGTTTTAATGTTTTCTTATTTTTTTTTTTTATTTTTTTATTTACATGATAGTTCGCCACGTTGGGTTAAAAAAATTGACGTTTTTCCAAAAAAAAAAAATTTTAAATAAAAACTTGTTTTATTATTATAAATGCAATTTTTTCGTTATTATTATTATTATTTCTTTTTTTTTTTTGTAAAAAAATGATTATTGGTCTTGTGTGCACAATGATAACTGAAAGTAGAAATAGAGCAAGGAGGAAGACTTATCTGTTTTATATCCACAGATAATCAGGGAGCTTTTTTAATACAAATTTTCGCTTATTATTCATTACGTGTTGCTTAAACTGTCTTTTTGTTTTTTTTTTTTAAGATGCTTAGGTTACAAAATAGAACGTAGTTAAATTTTTTATTGAAAAAAAGTTAACAGTACAATTGTTTAAAATGAAAAAATAATAATAAATGTATTTAAGAATTTGTTTTTTTTTTTTTTTTTTTTTTTTTTTTTTTTCTACAAATAAACACGTCAATTTCCAGAATCTTCTCCATCTAACGATTCGTCTTGCACCGAAGAGCTATCATCGCCACGTTTTGAGGACGGTGTACCCGTTATGCGACTAGAGCTTAAACCCATGCCGCCGCCGGCACGCCTACAATGAATAAGCAAAATAAATGTTAAGTTCATAAATCTTTTTTCGTTGTGGTTTGTCCACTTGCACAATGCATGCTTTTGTTAGCCAAACACAACCAAACACAACCGCTTGGCTTTGCGGAGGAAAACTTCTTTAGAAAATGTAAGCAAAAAATAGATAAAAAGTTTATGGAACGAAACGCCCAGAGCAAAGGCTATAAAAATAGCAGTGAGCAAAGTTTTAAGTGTGAAAGTATTGTTTCTCTTCTTCTGTGTTAGAAAAATGGTCAATTGTTGATTTTAAAACTAGTTCCAGTCCATTTACTTGTTTTTACTTTCAAGAGATTTGAGCGAAAAGTGGGACATAAAATATCAATTTTAAAGCATTTTCAAAAATAGACTTAAACCGGTTAACTGTTCGTGGCGAATCCGTCCATCCGTCCTTGTCGAATTTCCTCATAAAACTTTATCATTATGAGTGTGTGTTTGGCATAATAGTGTATTTTAGAAAATGTTTTTGTCATTTTGTTAAGACTTAACTTAATTTCATACTTTACGAGTATACGAATGTTTGACATGTACACGACTATATTCCTAAAGAGATCGAGACTGTTAACTGGGTAATAACGGCTTTCACGCGATTACTATGGACGGTAGCTGGCTCGTCGATGGAGTATATTTTGTATCGATATATCGGTCAATATTAAACACATATACATATAAAAAATATGTTTATATGCATATAATGTGAGTGTGTGCGGTGATATATCTCCTCAGCGAGAGTCATATTATTCCGTCCCGAAGTATACTGTAAACCAGTCCGTAAAAACTTTTTTTTTTTAAACCCGGAACAAAAGCTTTTGCATTGATGTAATGATTTATTTTTAAATTTCTAAATGCCGAAAAAAATGATGGGTTTTTGTAAATGAAACATTAAAATCGATTGAAATTCGAAATCGTTTCATATAAGCAGCCGAGTTTGATGAAATAGGTGATTAAAAGTTTCTAAGGCAGCCAAAATGACTTACAATTTAAACAAGTACGAAAATTGTATTCGGCCATAAGCGAATCTTTTATGCCCATCACAGACTAAAAACAAGGAAAAGAATAAAATTCTCATACTCGATTGGCGCAACTGATTTTTTCTATTTTCAGGGGACATTTATATGTTTTTGCTTTTGTTGCGTAGGCGTGTGGACACTGAACTAGTCTATCTCTGCGCGTGTTTCAAATTCTTTTTCAAAATTTGTAAGCGATATTTTCATTTACGCGAACGGGACAATGTCTACCATAGACACTACATGCTTGGACAGAAGGACAGATGGACAGACGAGCCAGCGGATATGCTCAGGTGCATTTCGAACTTGAATTTTCCCCATTTATATACAAGTGCTTCAGCATCGCCCTTAGATAAATTATCTGTTGCGTGCAAGAACTTCTAATGGTTCTGCCAGTCAATGATTTCATTTTTACCGTCAGGGAAGTTTACAACAGTGATTACACAGACGGACAGACGGTCATGCCTAAATTGATTTAGAATTTGATGCTGATCAGGAATACACATACTTTGGATGGTTACTGAAGCTTCCTTCTGAGCGTTGCAAACGTTTTGACAAGCTGAATATATATCCGTCATATTTCGGTGATGAGCATAAAAATCAAACTTGAATCAAATTACAATAAGAAAATTTTCCAAATGAGTAATCAAAGATGACAAAATAATTAATAATAATTAATAATTTTCATCTGATAAGGTGCCATGACCCAGCCAAGGTATTTCGAAGATCTTCCTTACAAAATCCACCTTTTTTTGTGTTTTATTTAAGAAGACGAGCAAACCGATTAAGGAATTAACTTAAGAAATTGTTCTGCATCGCTAGGCCATTACCAAGCCAAGGCCATTACACTTCACCAAATTCATCTTAATTATTGTCAAAAGAAGAATAAATCTTTCACTGTACAGTATACGTTTTCGTTAAGCCAATGTCTTCACCGTGTAATAGGCCCCCAAAAGTATAAATGTATGGTGTTTTATTTAGATGTTAAGCTATCAAGTTATTAATCCATGGTATTGGTGTAGTGATTGGTCAACCATGCAATTGGAGAAATTTTAAAAACTTTTAAACATTCCATAAGACAAGGGGTTTTCTCTCAGCGTGCCACTGAGAGAAAGAGAGAAGAGGATATTATCCAGAAATATAGGGAGGATTCGATTACATTTAACAGGTAGAGAGAGGGTGAAGGGAGTAACAAATTAGCTTAAAAATAATAGAAAAAAGAAAAACTTACACACATGTAAACGCTGGTTATGTTTAACAAAAACAAAATGGTAGTTTGTGTTGGTTTAAAAATAAATGAAAGAACAAAAGAAATTTTAACAAAGAGAAGAGGGAAGTCATAGAAATTCTTAAGGATGCGATATAAATTTATCGAATACCCTCGCAATTCATGATTAAAGTGGGATCCTTTTTAGGTGAATAGGCTTTGGCCTTTTCAGTTTCGGCCACTTGTATAGTTCTAATTTGCGTACATAGGATATTTAAATTTAAAAAAAAAAAAACATAATAAAAATATAGAATAAGATTATTGAAAAAAAATGTTATATAGATTAACAAACAAATTAGGTTTACCTTAATTTTGTTTTCAGCGAGTTAATCTCACGATTCATGGTCTCTTGACTTTCAAGCATGTCTTCACATTCACGTTGATATTTACGTTTCTGAGTTTTCTCCTTTTGCAGCTCTTCCTCAGTTTCATCAAGGTTGCGTTTCAACACTTTATAACGGCCATTAAGCTAAAGTCGGGCAAACGAATATATTAAATAAGTAAAAATTAACGAGAATAATTATTTTGAGAGATGGAAACTTACTTTATCGATTTGCTCTTTAAATGAGTCAGCATGTCTTCGTTCGTCTTCTATATTCAGACCCAATTCTTTGATTTTTTTCTCCATTTTGCGATTAGCCTTCTGTTGCAGCAGTCGCTCCTTAGTCTCACTATCAAGCTGTTCTTCCAAATTGGAAATCTTGGCTTCAAGCGTGGCAATAGTGGCCTTAATTTTAGTACGTTGCGCGGTCTCGATCTCAGCAAGCTTAGCTTTTAGTTCTTTGTTCTGGCGTTCCAGCAACGTCTTGGCATTCTCATTCTTTTGAGCATTTGACTTTTCAGTGGCCAATTCAGTAGAGAGTTGCTCGTTCAGCAATTGCGCTTTGCGAGCACGATCGAGAAGCATTTCAGAATTCGTTTGCTCCTCTTCTAGGTCCTCCTCCAGGACAGCTATTCTCGCCTCAAGACGACGTTTCTCATCGATCATTAAAGTACCTTTGCTAGCGTTTGCAGTTATTTCTTCCGCCAATTCGTCTCGTTCCGTTTCGGCAGCGCGGCGCGCTCGTTCCGCACTAGACAAGTCTTCGGATAGTTGTAATACCTCAGCTTCCAAAGCTTTCACTTTTCTTTCGGCTTCTTTACTGGCCGCTTGTAACTCTTCCTTAGCTGCCTTAGCTTCCTCCGCATCACGCAAGGCATCTTTAACCTGAGCTTGCAGTCTCTTAGCGTGTTTGAGAGCATCTTCTTTAACTTTATTGTGCATTTCCATTGTCGTTTCCATTTCCTTAAGATCACCTTCAAGTTTCTTTTTAGCAGCTACCGCCGCCGTACGTTGCTTACGTTCCTCGTCCAGTTCAGCTTCGAAATCGCGTAACTGTTTCACTAAACCTCGACGCTTCTCTTCGGCTTGCTCTTCCTTCGCTTGTAAATCGCGTTCAAATTGAGAACGCAAAGCCTGCATATTGACCTCTAATCGCAGTTTAGCATCTTCGGTAAGTTGCAGATCGTCTTCTAGTTCTTCGTTTTGTGCTTTCAATTCGGCCAATTGGGATTCCAAGGCACGTTTTGCCTTCTCTAATTCGTGCACATTTTTATCGGCAGTACCCTGAGTGTTGACCAAATCATCAAGTTCGTTTTGCAAAGCTTTGCGTTTATTTTCCATATCCTCAATTTTATCATAAGCTTCGTCTAATTCGCGGGTTAACGACAGCACCTTAGTCTCTTTTTCGCGTGCCTCACGCTCAGCTGTATCTCTTTCTTGGGCGTATTGCTCTGAGATGGCCTTGTCTTCGGCTAAAATTTTATCAAAATTCTTTTGCTTCTTCTCCAGCTCGAGCACCTAAAAATTTCAAAACATTTATTAACAAATTTCAATTCAGTGAATTGTCACAATTCAGAGTCACTGACCTTTGTACGTTGTGCTTCTAATTCAATTGTCGTATCCTCCAGCTCGGATTGGATTTTCTTTTTACTCTTATCCAGGCGATCGTTATGGCCCGTTAGCTCTTTCACCTGCCTTTCTAACGCCTCAATTTCCTTGTTCAAGCGTTTTTTACTCTCTTCGAGTTCTTTCGCTAAATCACTATCTTCTTCAGCCTTTTTCTTAATATCCTGCATAGCAGCTGTCAATTCGGCCAATTTACGTTCATAGTTCTTTTTGGCCTCTTCATCTTCTTCTAGTTGTTCTTGAAGCACTTCCTTTTCCGATTCCAGTTGTCGTAATTTCGAACTCAGCGATAACTTCTGACGCGTCTCTTCTTCTAACAGTTGTTGCGTCTCTGTCAATTGGGATTCCATATTACTGGCTGATTTGACGGCTGCTGATGCCTTTAGTTCGGCTTCCTCTAGTTGGCTTGTTATATACTCGGCTTCTTGTTGCAATTTAGCACATTTCTCTTGCAATTCTGAACGCGCACGTTCCACTTCAGCCAATTTCACCTGTAACACAGTGTGATTAAATTCAAAGTCGATTTCAAACTCAACTTCCAATTCGATTTCAATGAAGAAAGTGTAAAGATTAGCCCGCATAATAAATAAGTGCCAATGCGTAGGCAGGCAAAAGCACAGAATGTAATATACAATCACTGAGATGAGTAACAAAGTGAGCCAAGATAAATGAGCAGGGTTATCGATAAACCACAGAACATCATAATATTTGTTTAAATGCCAAATGAGACATTAACTTTTGCTTTAAAATGATGATACAAATGAAGGAAATTTCGTGGTTAACACGACACCGGCGGACGGACGGGCGTATCATAGAATACAAAAGTAACAAACCATTCATCTATAAAGCAAAAAAACAAAAAATACATCAGTCACTGCAAAATATAATTAATTACCTGTAACTCGGCTATCTGAGATTCAGCTTGTTTACGTCGACGATCGTTTTCTTGCCGCGAACTATTTACGGTACGTAGTTCAGTTGCCAGATCAGCGTTTTCCGCTTCTAACGTAGCCTTTGCCTTTTCTAACACAGATTTCGCTTTACGTAAATTCTCGATTTGTTCGTTAATGCCATTCAATTCTTGAGTATGTTTATGACGCATTTCCGCTATTAAGCCCTCATGATTGACCGTTTCCTCCTCTAAGGATTTCTTTAAAGTGGCCAATTCTTGTTCCCGTTTCGAGCGTAGTTCTTGCTGAGCTTTAATCGTAGACATAATAAGACAAAATTTATTTCTCTTTTCGTTTGACAGATGGTTTGAAAAACTTTTTGAAAAATATTTTAAATCTTTACACTTACCAGCTGTAGTATCCAGGGAGTCTAAAAGTTCATTCTTTAGAGCTTCCAGTTCTTCACTTAAATCTCGACGTACTTTCTCGGCCTTTGCCCGCGCAGCTTTTTCCGCTTCCAGATCTTCTTGTAATTCCGCTAACTGAGATTCAAGCTCCCTTTGAACCTTCTGAGCAGCAGCCTTGGATGCTGACTCCTCGTCGATGCGCATCAACATTTGGGATAGTTCGTCTTCACGTTTCGACAAATGTTGCTGCATTTCTTCCACTTGTATTCGGCGCTCATTCAATTGCTCTTTAAGATCAGCCATTTCAGTTTCGATTTTTCTCTTAGTGCGATCCGATTCTTGTCTCTGTTGTTGATCTTTATGCAGACGTTCTTCCAATTCGGCTATGGTAGCCTCATGTTTCGTTTTTAACTTTGCCAAATGCTTAGCCTTCTCTTCCTCCTCGGCTAAAGTTTGTGAAAGATCATTAGCACGTTCCTCTAATATTTTTTTCTCCTTTAGTAACTTTTGATTATGATCTTCCGTTAAGGCCAAATCCTCTTCATGCTTCTTAATTTTAGCGTCAAGTTGCACTTTTTCCAAATGCAATTTTTGACGCGCTTCCTCCTCCTCTTCCAACTGTTCCTCCAAATCTTGTATATGCAATTCAAGCTTCTTCTTTTCCATACCCAAAGCTAGAACGCGCTCTTCCTCCTCTTCAATCCGAGTCTCCAATTCTTGCATCATATCTTCCAATTCTTGTTTGCGAGCCATCAAACGGGAACGCGATTCCTCCGCTTCGGCGCAAAGCTCTATCTCGGCTTGCAATTGTTCGGCCAGTGAGGTCTTCTCCTCCAACGCCTGCTGGTATTTACGCTCGTATTCTTGAGTACTTTTGGCCAATGTCTCTAGCTTTTCGCGTACTTGCTTTAATTCGTCTTCTTTTTGCACCAGTTTCTCCTCTTGCTTGGTTACTTCCAGCAAAGGTTTCACCTTCGTATATAAACGCCACCATTGCCAATTGCGCAGTTTAAGATAAGCCGCGCAATTGCGTTGAATTATGCGTATAGCATTCAATTGTTGCAGGCGCTTTTGATAATTGCGACGAGCCAAAAAACCACGACAGAACGCTTGGAAGTTCACTATCAAATCGGTGATTTTGTAATCGCGTTCCTCTTCCAAGTGAGCTAAAACACCGGCGCGGAAGAAGATCTTCGACTGACCGACCCGAAACAGATTCGAATCGAGTTCCAAAGCTTGAATCATTTTCTCGCAAGCCTTTTTGCCATCCATAAAGCCTTTGGGTATAACATTGGGAGTCAAAAGTTCGTAACGTTGACGGAACTCTTGGAATGGTATACGATTAGGGAAGCCCTGACGACAAATGCGTATACCTTCGAGCACACCATTACAACGCAACTGATCCAGCACCAAAGGAGCATCGATTTTACCGGCTCGTTTTTCATGATTAGGTATAATGCAACGTACAAAATTCGGATTCGTATTACGTAGCGTATCCATTAGCTTCGCCAATTGCTCTTTATACAGATGCGATACTGTACGGAACATACCCTTACGAGTTCGAGCTCCGAATTGCGTATCTGTTAAAGCTTGATGAGCCATGCCCACAATTTCGGCATCTTTCCAAATGTTCACAACAAACGGATCTTGAGAATTTTGCAAAAGCGAAACAATATTTTCATTCAGAGGATCCATATTCTTCATTAACCATTTAGCAGCTGAATAATCAACTTTACCGGCGTAATGAACAATCGCAAAGTCGGCTACTCCGCGGAAGTCGGTTTTCACGAATTTCGGATGCATAGAATGTGCGGTAGCAAGCTTTTGTACAAAGGATTTATCAGTGGCTTTGGGAAACCAACAATCTTCGTCCAGTAAAGCCATAATGCCACCCGGTTTATCTATTAAATCTATAGTAGGCTGCAGATCTAGGCCAAAATCGATAAATTTCCATTCAATGCCCTCACGTTGATACTCCTCCTGTTCGAGTATGAACATAGTATGATTGAAAAGTTGTTGCAATTTCTCATTGGTGTAATTAATACAAAGTTGTTCGAATGAATTCAGTTCGAAAATTTCAAAACCAGCCATATCCAGAATACCGATAAAAGAAGCGCCCTGACGTTTTGTACGATCCAGTGATCGGTTAATACGATTCACCAACCATTTGAACATGCGTTCATAGCATGCTTTAGCTATTGCCTCAACAGCAAATTCGACTTGTTCTTTCGTCTGAGCCTTGGTAACAAAATCTCGACCAACTTTAATGCGCGGCGTTAAAAATGCTCGTGTCATATCTGTAACACCTAATCCTAATAGATGGGCCACCTTCTGAGCCACAGTGTTATCAGGTAAAGTGGCTTGATCACTATTACGTTCTTGACGGAATTTCATACAACCAAACAGCAGCACCGCACTTACAATACGAAAAATTGAATTAAAATCTTCAGCAGTCATGCCCATAATGTTCATAGATTTGACAGTGGCCTGAAATTCGGCAACATCATCAACACCGGGTACTGGCAAAGTGCCATTGGATAGGAATGGATATGATTTAATATCATCTAAAATAAATTTCTCACGTTGCTCCGATGATGCACCGGCAAGCAACTGATAGAATATATGGAATGTTCGTTCGTCCTTAGCTTGACGAATGGCACGTGATTTTTCCAATAAATACGTTTCAATATTGGCACCCGATATGTAACCCGAAGCGTCGAAATTAATGCGTATAAATTTGCCCTGAAAGGCAAAAAGATATATAAATTATATATAAAAGGAAAAAAATATTAAAAATTTTTTTGTTTTTTTTACTTACAAAACGTGATGAGTTATCATTTTTCACAGTTTTGGCGTTACCAAAGGCTTCCAATATGGGATTGGCTTGCAATAATTGTTGCTCTAACTCGCCCTGTCATGATTGAATATTTTTTTTTTTTTTTTTTTTTTTTGTGTAATAATAAAAGGAAACGAAAAAAGAAAAAAAAAATTATTTTCAAAGCATTTCGTTAATATTTTAAATATAATGATGAATAATAAGTAAATAAAATGTATATATATATATATAAAAAAAAAAAAAATAAAAAAAAATTAAAAAAAGCAAGTCACAAAAGAACCAAAGAACAAATATTAGTAGCTAAGCGTGCATTTTTGGTTAAAAGAAAAAAAAAAAAAAAAAAAACAGAATGAATGAAATTAACATTTATTTACAAAAGCTTTCTAAAGTTATTGATTGAATTATAATAATACCTTCGATCGTGTTCCAAAAGCTTGCTTAAACTTTGCATATTCTAATTCTTGACAATGATGCTTAATGCATTCGTTTTCAGACATACCATGAACATTGCATTGAATTTTGAACATGTTTTGAACATTTACTTGCAAATTCTGTAAACGATGATACAATTTTATTTTCAATATACACAAATCTATTTTTTTTTTTTTTTTTTTTTTTTTTTTTTTTTGACTACAATCAGTTTCTTTTATACATGTACTGGGTAAAATAAAAATAATCTCGGAAATACCTAAAGGCCTGTATACCAAAAAGTTAACTGAAACCTTAGCCTCAACTATATATTTAGAAGTTCATAAGCCCGATCGAAGCTTTTAATTGTTACGGAAATTTAGAAAACTACAATTTACTAAGGATTTAAAAGCAAGTTCAACTTATGTTGTATCATAAACCGGAAGACTTGCAGTGCCTTTAAGTTTGGACATGAAACTTATTCAAATGCTATAAATATTAACAATTGGCAAAGAAGTTCGAAAAGCGTATCTCCTTCACCGCATAAGAATTTGACATTCTTCTCTTTACGGTTTTTGTTTTTTTTTTTTTTTTTTTTGGCAGCAATAGGCATAAGAGTACGTTTCGATATTAGTTTTATTATAAAACAGGGTTGTTTGAAGGCAGCAAACCATATTGTGATGTTACTCAAAATATGGCTTTTTATGTCAGTTTATGGAACACTTTTTGTAGTCAACTTTTGGGATTATATTTATGTGATAAGCAGTTGTATTTAATAGCAAATGTCAAATATCTCACACAAGGTCAATATAATTTTTCAGTATGCGCGTTTTTTCGATCGAGATCATTCCTGAAAGGAAGCAACTTCTCGCAGGTAAAAATGTTACTGTCAGCCACGGCATACTTCTAAACACCTTACATTGTTTCGATTAATACCGTTTAATACATAAGGCGTTATTTGGGAAACGGGCGAAAGTAGTTGGTCCGTCGCGGATCAAACGCCTTCTCGACTCGCGCGTATCAAAAATTGCAATTTGTAAATTGAAAACGAGAACACAAACGAACACACAAATGTATAGTCGAATCGATCATTATAATAAAAGTTGGGTCCATTTCAAGTCCTTTTCGGTATTGCATGCATTCCTTGTTCCACAACCAATGTAGAGTACAACAAGTTCGTAGTTGAGCAAAGCTGATCATTGCACATTCGTGTATTCCGAACTCTATATGAATTTTGGAATTTAGACAAGAAAGAACGAGAGTGCCTTTTCCCTATTTTAAGCTAAGCGATCGACATTTTTCATTTTAACTAAAACATCCATTTCGGGTAACTATTATTTCGTCCCTTTTGGATATGTACACTGTGATCAAAAATTGAGACCTTTTTAAATCTATTTATTATTCCAAATCCATTTCGTTGCCTTCAAAGTAACGCCCCCCCGCTATACTATACTACCTCGCAAAAAGTTGTTATATTCCATTTCTGGAATGGCTTTTAAAGCTTCCTGCGATTCAGCTTATAGCTCTTCAATCGATTCAAAATGGTGGCCCAGAAATAGTGCTTTCGAGTTGAGGACATAGACGGAACTCGCAAGAGGCTAAAGGACGGTGCTTCTGGACAATTGTGGGTTGAGTTTTTAACAAAAATGTTCTTGCAGAACTAATGCAAACAATTGAGTATTTTTGGTACAAATCTTTTAAAACGTGACTGGCTGATTCTTTTGGAATGCCAGCAATGTCAGCAAAGTCCCCAATTGTCAATCGAGAGTTTTTTAGCACTGAATCTTTGATTTGTTTGACTGATGTTCATCAGTTGAGGTTGATGATCATCCGGCACGCTTCCCGTCTTCAACCCCTTCTCGGCTTTCTTTGAACTGTTAATAGCACTTCCCGACATTCTTCTCCGATAAAGTCAAAGGGATTAAAAATGTTTGCGCAAGACATTTCATTTCGCCAATAAAATTTACTGCAACTTCGGTGCTCATCCATTGTAAAAAATCGGAAGAAATACTTGCTGTGTCGTACAAAAGCCAGCACAGCTGCAACACTAATGTCGCTTGTGATGCGAAAATTGGCACAGATATCTGTCACTGTGCTAACAACTTAGACGAAAGATATTCTGATATTTGATGCACTTTCGCCATTTATGGTTGAAAGTTGAATATTGGTCGTAATTTTTGATCCCAGTATTACCTTATACCTTTGTATTTCCTAAGTGTTGGTTCATACATACTTTTGCTATATACTTGAGTAAAAGAGAATCTGCCATAAAGCCCTGCGCTTCATCTACGGGAGAGTGATTGCTTATATGGATTGGGTACAGTACCATTGAGATATCAATAAAAGATCTCAATAAAAGATTCTCAAGACACATATGAGCATTTTTAGTTGAAATTTAAAAATTTTGAATTTATTTTAACCTAAAAGAATAATTTATTAATTCATAAATATTTCAAATGAAAACATTTCTACATACATAATGGGAAAATAAATCAATAGGAGAGAGAATATCAGTACAAGAAAGAGAAATAAAACTCAATTTACATATAACGAAAAGTATAAATAATTAATGATTTGATAAATTTTTTAGCACTCTGACAAAGAAGATACTTTACCGCAAGAGTTCCTGCAGTACTACTCTAGATATTTGTAAATGCCAATAAATACAACATAGATAAAATGCAGCAACAACGCAGAGCGCGTACAAGAACGTTCGATGACGTTGTCATAAGGTGAGGATGAAGATGAAAAGTTGGTGATGATGTCAAGTTATGTACATTTATGAAGGTTTTTGGTACGGAGTTTCGGAATAATAAACGCAATGGTTTTAAGTTACACATACACAACAAATTTTAAGAGAAACAATAAATAAAAAACAAATAATAATTTATATAATAATTAAAAAACGGCAGCATTATAATATGATTGATGATGATGGTGACATAAGTTTGGTTAAAATGATGATTATTATGATTATAATGATGATGATGGCAACACGATGATAACCGGGTTAATATTTTATGCATATAAGAAATCAAATACAAAATGCCAATAAAGAAAAACATTAGATCAAAATTTGTAAAAATGAATACAAAAAACAAGAAAAAAATCTTTTTTTTTTCTTTTTTTTTTTTTAATTCTTAATTAAGCCATTGTTTTCTTTTAAAGAAGTTTAAGTCACAATTTAATGTTTGTTTACTTTTAAAAGAATTTTCAACATGCTAGGTATGCAAATGAATTCGTTTTGCTGAGATTGCAATATTTATAGATAACCTAGGTATTGATGTATAAACGATGTCAGTTTTAGTTGTGTACAAGCTGTCACCCATTGTATATCAAAGTTAAACGAGATAGATCGCGACCACGGTATCGTGTTTTTCTGTGTTTTTAACTGTATTAACAAGGAAAAAGTATAGCTAAAGTCACGGAACGGATTAAGTCGGCTCGGGATGAAAATACGGTAAGCTACGAAACAGTTAGGAAGAGGGTTTCGAGCAAAAAATGTTAGTTGTGAAAACGATAAAGCTCGCATAAGTCTTTCTTTCCCAATTTAAAATGAAAAGTATTCTCCAGACCTGGCCCCTTCCGGTTACTACTTATTCAAATCGATGCAGTCATATTTAGCTCGTCAGCGGTTCACACATGTTGAAAATCTGCGAATATGGTTATTCGGCTCCAAACTCGCAAGTTTATAAGGCCGAGGCATCCGTAAGCTACCCGATAAATGCAAGATGATCATAGGTAATGTTGATGCATATTTCGATCTTTAACCTAAGTTTTTTATTTTAACAAATTTAGTTTGAAGTTGAATTTTATAAAAAAAACACAACGAATTCATTTGAAATCCTATTATATATATGTGTACATACAAACATATATACTCATTTATATATAGAAACACATACATACATACAAACATTTTTATATATGCGTGCTTTCATATTTGTAGAAATAGATCTGTATACATATATATATATGTGCGTGTATGTACTCATTTCATATGTGTACGCGCACGCGCGCATGTGTGTGTATGTATTTAGGTGCACAAGAAATGTAATTTTTCCAAAAAGAAGTTTTTTACTCTTGACTTTTAAATATATCGACTTAGACCACTTGAAAGATGAATGGCTTAAATGATATAATAATAACAATAATAATAATAATGTGACTTTAATGCCTAGAAATTTGATAAATGCTCGAAAAACCGAAAACCATTACAAAAATTTGGGGATATAACGGAAAAAAGGAAAAATACTTACAATAATTAAGGCCGGATGTGGTCCCTTTTGGAATTCATTATGGTTTGAAATTGATTTGATTTGTTGTTTTTTTTTTTTGATTTTTTTTTAATTTTTTTTTTTTTTTTTTTTTTTTTTTTTTAAGTGAAATTACAAATGATGTCCGTGGAGAGGGTGGTTGTGGTGTTGGTTGTTTGGTCGGTTTGATTGATTTATTGGTTGGTTGTTTGATTGGGTGAGAAGTGAGACAAGTGACATAATATTTACAATAATTTTTTTTTTTTTTCAATTTTATTTAGCATAAAAAATATTAATAGCAAACACAACCCAACGTTTATGTACACAAAACCAGAACAGCAAACAAATGATCATAACGTATAATAACGAAAAAAAAATAAAAAAAATAAAAAAAAAATATTCATAAATATATATATATATTATTAGGTACAGAGTGAATTTTTGTTTTTTGAGAAAGGTAAGAGAAAGGTACGCAGACAAAATAAGAGTGGAGTAGTTTGGAAAGATTGGTGGGTGTAGTTCAAGTTAAATGGTGTTTTATTTAAATTTGCAGTAGAGTTTACATGAAAATAAATAAAAGAAAAAAATTTTTATAAAATAAAATAATAAATTAAAAATATATTTATATATATGTATATAAAGTAACGGAAAGTAAACATTACATTATATTATAATATATTAATAGCAAGAAAAAAAAAACAAAAAAAAAAAAAACTGCGAAAGAAGAAGCGCCTACACCACATAGACTTAATTGAGACCCAATATAAGAAAATCCCAAGTCATTATTAAAAGAGCCACCAGAGTAAAGAAGTTTTATTTAAAAATTTTATTAAATTTATACAATTTATGCCAATTTATAAAATATATATATTTATATATATATATATATAGGTATATATATAAAAGAAAATTTCCGCAACCTTCAGACAAATTCCATCCGAAACGTAACTGTGGTGTAGGTTATCGCGATAAAGTTTTTTTGTCATTTTTTTTTTTTGTTTTTGTTGTTTTTTTTTATCAAAGCAATTATTTTTCTTTAACTTTTCATTTATCATAAACTAAAAATAACGAAATGATGTGTTCACTTTATAACAGTTAAAGTTTTTAATCAATTTCGACTAAAAAATCAATATAAACATTTCATTATCTTATTGCATTTTTATTGTATATTTAGTTATGACTGGGCCATAATAGAGCTTAGAAGTTGTAGAAGACAACGGAAAATAACTTTGTATGCACCTTGCAAAAGGAGTAGAGATAGAGCCATCTTTCATTATACCGGTCGTTTAAGAATCATTTTTTGAATAGATTTAAGCTTGTCTGTCCATCTGTCCGTCTTGGTTTTTTTTTTTGTAGAAGTTGCAGTTATCTCCTGAATAAAATATCGCTCATGTACGTTCACAAACCTTCCATAAGGTACCTTACTTCCCTTAGCAACCGGGCATTCACTATTGCTGCAATTACACGCCAAATATAATAAAAGTACGGGTTACGGTCGCGTTTTTTAATTACTACGCTATGCAAAAGCCTAGTGATACTTGTTCAAACTCATGGGGGTTGGACTATAGACTCAAGACTATTACTAATAATTGATTAAAATTGAATTCCTTCTGAATCACACTTCTTGGAAGTCTTCAAACAATTCAGAACGGGCTTCCACATAAATTTTTCATCTCATTTGAAATTATCATAAGAGGCCATTTAACTGTTTTTCACTCATTGAAAACAACTAAAATCAAAACAATTTTGGTCACTTTTCATTCAAGCAAAAAGATAAAAAAATATGTATTTTAAAGATGTAAAAACAACTACACAAACAATTACAAAGTGTATTGATTCAATGATTCAGTGTTTTTTAATTAAACATATATATACATATAAACATATATATATATATATATATACATATGTTACTTACAACGACGACATGATGGCGCAATAAAATATCGGATCAAACATGTTGGAAAAAATGCTGACTTATCATTTTATCGGTCTTCGTTAAATTTCGTCTAACGAAATGATTTTAACACTGGAACCGCCGACCTTTTGCATTTACCTCTTTCTATCAAAACAGATCATTTTGATCTTCATGTCAAAACATTTCTGATGACATGTGACTCTAACGTTCACTAGGATCAGGTTCAGATTCAGTGAGCAAATAGCCTTTATCGGCTTACTAATACGGCCACAATTTGGGATAGAATTTTATTTCAAATATATTTGCAATTTATTTTCCCTTTACTCTAACACACCCGGGCACTTCCGCCACCTTTTTTTTTTTTTGGAAAACAAATAAATTGGAATTAAAGTAAAGTAGCCGTTAATTGTGGGCGCATTAGTAAATCAATCGGGATCGTTCTCGAGTCAAACAGGCAGATGAACTTGACGAACAATGATCGAAACTTATAGAGGAAATTATGGTAAATCTATCGATATTTTTCAAAGTTGTTTTACCTCCTCTCGCCTATGGTGGGCATCTATGTAAGCAGATGGCAATCATTTTTTTGACATTCGATAGACCAAAGTATGTCTGCGCTAACTTTCAGTTTTCTATCTTCTTTTTTACGATAAAAATAGGCCTCCCATTGGACAGAAACGAGTATATATGTTATGGGCATTTCGGCAACTAGACCATGTGGGAAACAAATGGTCATAGGCACTGAAAAGTCTTTTCATATGTATAAAAGGTGCTAAAAACTTTTGGAACATTACATGCTTTTTAATTGTTTTATCCGCCTGGGTGGCCGAGTAGGCAAAGAGTCTCGACTAGCAACTCAGTGGTCGTGGGTTCGAATCTCAAGTGCGGTAGAGTTTTTAATAAAGGCCGATAGCCTTAGATGCTAGTGCTTTTAATAGTTTAGTCTTAGAATTTATTTCTCTGGCGAAATTAATAATAATAATAATAATAATTGTTTTTTTTTGAAGATCGAAAACTAAAAAGGATCGAAATGACGTAATCGATAGTTCTGGTGTTAAACGTCAAAGCCTTAAGTAATATAAAAAAGCCGTTGCCACTACACTTCTACATAATTAATCCTATAAATTGCAACTAGCAACAGAAATTCGATAAATGATTTCTAAAATTTTTAAATGCATAGTGCCTTCTAGTAAAAATTATTTCCTGGCGACTTACTTCTCTAATTGTCTGTCTATGATGCAGTCTTTTTTACCATTAACGGAATTAATATTTTATTTATTTATTTTTTTTTCTTTTAATTTTTATTACTATTTCTAATTTATTTATTTATCTAAAACTCATAAATCTTTAGCACAACAACAATTGCCTTTACTTAATAATTTCATAACTTTAAGCTATTTTCATGTGAACACTATCCGTAAAACGAAAATATACACATTTCATCATACCACTTGTTGTCATGGCCAGAATTATGTGACGTAATAGATACATATAAGGATTTAATTGTGTCGCTCTGTCCCTTTCTTTTACGTGAATGTTCGCTATGATAATTAATCTTCAAAGTCGTTAAAATTGACAGAAAAATGAAATATATATATGAGGTATATATTTGTACATAGCCTTAACCACAATTTCCACAATTCCAATTAAAAAGGTTTACGCTTTGAATTTGATCGCAATAGCTCAACGAAGGAAAGAGTCGGAAAAAACAGTAAATGTCTATAATCAATGTCTATGATAATTAATAGACAAGAATGAATTCACGTAGAAGAAGCTAAACGACAGTAACTTGTGCGATCCGAAGGATAGTCAAAATTGGCTTGGAAGTACGATTTTTTCACTTAACCAATAAAATAAGTTTTTTTATACCCTATACCTACGCCACTTGCGGTGTAAGGCTAGATTAAGTTTGTGCAGATGTATGCAAAGCCTAGAAGAATTTGCCATTTATTATACGGATCGATTCAGAAAATGATTCTGACTGGCTGCACGGACAGAGGAACAAGCAAGCGTAGATAGATTCAGCAATTGATTCTGAAATGATGAGAATGACAAAATAACCTTGAATTGATCTTAGATGGTATGTTCGTCTGTCCGGCTTATGCGCAGGTCGCAATTTTGCAGATATTTTTCCGAAATTTTGTACACTCACGTGTTTCGACCCAAAGGCGAACACTATTGATAATGGTTTGAACCGAGACATTTTTTTTTTTTTGTGTAACCACAATATCCCATATAAGGCTTCAAAGTGAAAAGTCGTTATATGAATACTTGCAAGGTAGGGTATTTAATTGTGGGTCCTAGCCAACTGCAGTGTTTTTACTTCGTTTTGTAATACACAATACCGAACCCCATTAAACACGCCCGACACTTATCCACTCTGCTAATTGTTATTTAAATCATATTTAGATTTAAAATTTAAAATAAAAAGAAAAAATATATATCAAAAAAGAGACAGACGCGTGTTATAAATTAATAGCAAATCAAGTTCATGTCTGTAGCTCTATCTACCCTTGCTATCTATCAGTGCATTATACGAAAATTGAATGCAAGGGGTTCACAATTTATTTCGCCACAATGATACGATATTGTTCGGAATAATAACTAAGCAAAAAATAGAAAGGAAAAAAAAAAAAAAAAGCGCATAGAGTAGCATCATAGCATCATATGGTCGAAGAGCCACCACCATTAAGTGATTGAAAATAATTTTCAATTATTTTAAACTTGTTGCTTCTGTTTACTGGTTATCTGTACGCCTGTCTGATTGCCTGCCTGCCTGACTGCTTTCTTATTTGTGTGCTCCGCACACCACACTCATCGTCTACGTAGCACGCCCTTACGTTGTTGTTCATTAACTTACTATACACAGAGACATTCTCTTCTCTTTGCGCAGCCGTCTGCCGTGTTTATCAAACGAAATTGACACAAAATAATATATGCTTCATGCAGTGCAATTCGCGCCGCATTATCTATCATATAAATATTTTAAAAGAATGTACGTGTTTGTACTTCAAAAAAAAAAAAAAAAAAAAATATATATATGTATATATATATATATATAATTATTTTATTTTCATAAATTTTTGGTTTATTTTTAGATTAAAATAAT